GAGATCCGCCTGCCTCTGCCTCCTGAGTGCTGGGATTAAAGGCGTGAGCCACCACCGCCCGGCTCTTATATGGTCTTTTAAAAAGTAAAATGAATGACTAATTTTATTCATTTTGTCATATCTGGCAGTGAGTTCAATACTTGATGTAAATCCATGTTTATTGACTAATAGTGTAATTTAATTTGAATTTGTAAGTGGAATTTGATAGAATTGAAATAATCAATACATAAAAGTTTTACTATATACAATGAATATTTCATAACAGTTAGTGAGTGCTTATTACATTCTGAATGTTCTAAAATGAGTTAATTCACACCAGTTCTCCCAGGCTGTTTTTTATACCTTTGTGTAACTTCAACTCCATTTTAGAAATGTATGCTGAAACTCAGGAAGATAAAATATCTTCCCAAGAACACTCAGCTAAACAAAAATCAAGCTCTGATTGAACCTTGGCTGTCTGGTTACACAGATCATGATCTTCTGTTCCATTGTCTTCTATTTACATATTAAAAGTATATTTATAACAAATGAAACTATTACATAATAAATAGCCCCACCTGTGTGTAGTTCCAGCAGTTCTCCTGAGAATGCTGACATTGCTTGGACTGTAACATTTGAAGAATAGGTTAAGTTCTTCAAAAGCTCTTAAGAAAACTATATAAGATTAAAAAAAATTCTTGGAATGTTATTTGTGTGTGTATTCGCTTTTATTATTTAGCCAGGAATAAAATGACCAAAAATGTACCAACCTGTGTTAACAGCATTATAAATTTCACTCTTGTTTTTGTTTGTTGGTTTTGCTTTGCTTTTTTGAGACAGGGTCTGCCTGGCTGTCCTGGAACTCACAATGTAGACCAAGCTGACCTTGAACTCAGAGAGATCCACCTGCCTTTGCCTCCCAAGTGCTGAGATTAAAGGCAGAAGATATTTGTGTCTCTGAAGTCACAGGCAAAGCTCACAAAAAATAATATAAACAGGGGCTACAGAAAAAGTTTAATGCCCAAAGTACTAACCATGCAAGTGTGAGGATCTGAATTCAGATCCCTGGTACCCATGTAAAAAGCCAGCCATGGTGATGTGGGCCTGTTACTTTATTGCTAGGTAGGGACAGAGATAGGGAGATCTTACACACACACACACACACACACACACACACACACACACAAAAAAAAAAAAAGTTTCTAACACACCTAATAAGTAGTGCATGAAGCCATAAGGTGTCCACTGAATAAGTTACTTTTTCCACATTGAAATGTCATTTTCTTTCCTGTTTATGTCCATCAATTTAGAGCAGTGACAGTAGAGACCCTCCTTACTAATGGTGTGTAGGCATCCTGTGCCATATTTTGGATATTTTGGCAGACGTAATGAAATAGGAATGAGGAATGACCTACATTCTCAGTTCAGGAGACAGAGATACCGTACATAAATACAGACATCAGTGAGCCATGCTCTGGCTAAAGATCCAATGTCCCCAAAGGCAAGCATCAGCTACTTTAACCCACACTGGGTGCCCTAGAAAACAGCTATTCAAATTCTATTCCTTGATGGATTTGAGGTAGGCTTTTGCTAGCAGATAACATGCTTTGGTGCCATGGATTATCTTAATAATACAAGTGACACGCAAAAGTCTAATCTCTTTATCCTAGAAGAATTAATTTCAACCAATATGACAGATTTACTGTTCTATGGGGAGCCCTTCAAGTTTTATTGTGTTGCTCTTATACCCAGATCACAGGGACCCCCAAAAGATCACCACGAAGACCGAATCCCATACATAAAAGCAGAGAGCCTTTATTTTAAAGCTCAGAGCTTGGACTCTGTCCAAACAGCAGTGGTGAGAGCAGAGAACCCAGAGCCCAGGCAGGGTAGGGTTTTTACCATAGCAGAGTTTGGGGTGAGGGGATTCCTAGGGTTCAGGACCCTGATTGGCTGACATTTGTCTAGGGATATCAGTAAAAGGAAAACGGGTGTGAGCTCATGTGCTCAGGGATATCTATTGATCTTATCTAATCTTATCTAATGGTTGAAATGTTTGAGATGTCAGGTACCTCCCCTAAGAGGCTGGCTCATCCCTGGGTGGATCCCTGGGTGGTATTAGCTTATGGCTTTTCCTGGATCTGTGGATCTGCATGTTGCCTGTCAGCAAGCCTGTCACAGCAGCTGTGTCTGGGCTCCTAAGCCTGTCATGGTCACTGTGTGGTCAAACTGTTTTGGGTACCCCCACATTGCTGTGATGAAATAACCCAGCTAAAAAGCAACTTAGAGAAATGAAGGCTTCATCTTACAGTTCCAGGTTAAAGTGGAGAAGTCAAAACAGGAACTTTGAATAACTAGTCATATCACACACAGAGTCAAGACCAGAGCGAAATGAGCACATGCAAGTTCACTTGCTTGTGCTCAGCTTCATTTCTCTAATTTCTCCAAGCTAATACAGTTCTGGACAACATTAAGGAATGTTGCCACCCACAGTGGGCTGGGCTTATACACATCAATTAACTTAATTAACACAATCATGCTCACAGACATGCCCACAGGATATGGCTGTCTTCCTGAATGTCAAGAGCTAAATAAACTGCAGTTGCTTAATGCAGTCAATGAAAGCAAACCGTCGCAGGGGATGGTTTAGAACACTCCATTTTGCTTTCCTTACTGCTTCACCCACTTTCCTCTGTGACACCTCTGAGACCCTGACTCAGTGAGGCTCAGCTTATTAATGACAGAACTAAAAGGAGGGCATTTAGAGAACAGAAATTTAGTACAAAGCCTGGACATCTATTTGGGAAAGATCTTATTAAAATCTGAGGTAGTATCATGTTGGGGATCTGCAGGCATCCCCATGGGAGGGGCTCATCCTGCCTTTTGTCTTGCTGATATCTTCTGTTGATCACTGCATCTGTCATCTTTGTCATGAAAAGCATCTGAAATAATGAAATTCATTTCTCCTTGGAAAATTAACTTCTGGTGAAACAAATTTATGGAGCATACCAAATAAACTTATACTGCAGAAGATATTGCTTGATAACTCACACTTTTTTTTACTTTTTTTCTTCAATGTGTCTTTCACATTATGCACCTTGATCCCTTTCATTTCTCTGTCCCATCTCATCCATCTTCTGCCTCTGAACCACCACCCCCAACATACACACAAAAATAAAACATAATTTGAGGAAAAAAGAAAAAAAAAAGGAAAAGTTAAAAATTCTCACCATGGAAGCTGCAGTGTGACACAGTGAATCATGCAGTAAACCCCTTTGTCCATACACCTTTGCTTTCAAGTGTTCATTGCAGTCATTGGTCTGGTTCGAGGCCTCTAGTTCCTACTACACTATTGATGCTGGGCCCTCACTAGGACTCTTCCTGGATATCCTGTTGTTGCCCTGTGTTGTTGAGATCTTGCAGTATGGGTTCTGCATGTCAGGCCCCTTCACATGCTCCAGCAGATCATAGATGGTGTGGATGTTGAGGTAGGCTAAGTCATTACCCTGGTTCTGGGTGTGGGCATCTACAGGTTGGTCAGCCTGCCAGTTCTGCCCTGTCCTCACCACCAGTGTGGATCACTCACACTCTTTTGGGAAATATAGAGAAGCATTTCCATATGCAATTATGACACATTTCTTGTGATAAGTAACGTATATTCAACTCTTAGAGATTTTCTCTTTTACTTCTCAAAGAATGTGTATTTATTTATTTCTAAAAGATATTTATTTCTAAAAAATAAACAAGTTATTTTCTTTAAAAGCAAAATCTGTTCAGGTGAAATGAAAATTGAGTGCATTTTTTTAGTACAGTGATGTTGCAAAAATATAAGTGGCAGTAGATATGTTTTTGAATATTTGTTTTCCATATTGTACAAAATAGCACATAGCCTATTTATAACTCCTACAAAAACGACTTAAGTGTCTTCCATAGTTTGCCACTGGGAGGTTAGAGTTTAAAGTTCTATTTAATTGGGTTCTGTCAAAAAATACTTATAAGTTGTATTATTATGCATTTTTTATAAATAGGCATGCAAATTATATTCATTGTTATTTATTTCAAAATAAGAGTTTCACAAAGATATAAAATCATCTGTGAATATTTGTGATATTTAGAATAGTACTAAAGCTTTGTGCTGCTCACTGATGAATGAGGATGGTAGCATTGAGCCTAAATCTGTTTAACACACTGTACTCTTTCCAAAATTGTTGGGTGGTTTTAGTCAGGGTTTTGCTATTCATCATCAAGAGTTTCAATAGGGCTCCAAACCATAAAATTAGGTAATTATTTCTAGGTTCCATCAGTTAGAATGATACCTAGCATGATATTAGCTTTTCACACATCAATAGTTCTGGTGGCTAACTTCTATGCCATCTGATTGTCATGAATTCAGGTTGTGGTTTCAGTCTATTCCTCAGTGGTATAAATGTGTTACCCTGTAACACTAGTGATCCAAGTGACAACTGTCTGCTTACTATTACAGTTTTGCAAAGTTATTTCTATGGAAATTATGTAAAATATGTAATATTTTAAATATTGTTGTAAACTTTGGTACACTAATGTGGTAAGTGGTTAGACACTGAATTGGGCTTTGGTGAAGTGAAAATACTGTATGGTTCATTTTTATTTTTGTTTTCATGATTTGATACAGGATCTTGCTACATAGGTGGGGCTGTCCTGGAACTTACTGTGTTCAAGCTGTCCTCAAAGTCATAGCAATCCATCTCTCTCACCCCTCATCCTTCTGAATGTTCAAATTACAGGCGTGAGCTACTATACCTGTCTTACGTTTTATTTCCTTATTAAAGGAGATCTGTCCTTGCATATATATGCCCACCAATTGCAGACTCGCCAAATTCCTTTGGTATGAAAATTATATAGAGAGAGCTCCTGCATGCAGGCACACTCAATCCAGTCACCCCTAGGCATGGCCACTGGGTCAGAGGAGTTCATGCAGAATGAGTAAACACCAGGAGCTTCTGCTTGCTACTTTAACTTTCTTCTCTTCTTTCTCTTAATAGGAACTTTTTACCCCTGAATGCAAGTTTAAAGAGTCTGTTTTTGAAAACTATTATGTAATCTACTCATCCATGCTGTACAGGCAACAGGAGTCTGGCAGAGCCTGGTTTTTGGGATTAAATAAGGAAGGGCAAGTTATGAAAGGGAACAGAGTAAAGAAAACCAAACCAGCAGCTCATTTTCTACCCAAGCCATTGGAAGGTAAGTATATCACACGCATTATCCTCTTGGAAGCTGTTGTATACATTAATTTTTACAGGGATGCATCTGACATGGCCACAGGAACCTTCCACAGGCTGATAGAAATGTCTTATGTTGGAGTGCTGTTTGCAAGATTTCTCCTTGTGTCCTTGGCTCAGCTTTATGGGCTCCAAGTGTAGGTCTAGGGTAGGACAGGAGCTTAACATTTGCCAGAGACAGGGTTTTCAGTTCTGAACACCAAAGCTGGAGTAAAAGAAAAGGAAAAATAAAAATGAAAAATGTCCTCTCTCTCTCTCTCTCTCTCTCTCTCTATATATATATATATATATATATATATATATATATATATCTCTCTCTCTCTCTCTCTCTCTATATATATATATATATATATATATATATATATATATATATATATATCTAGCTCTAGCTCTAGCTCTAGCTCTAGCTCTAGCTCTATCATCTCTATCTCTATCTCTATCTCTATCTCTCTGTGTGTGCGCAGCAGAAAACTTCTTTCAATTTTGCAAATCCTCACTATCCCGAATGTTCTAAGTACTTCATTATTTTAGTTAATTTTTAAAAAATTAAAATGAACTATGTTCTTACAATGATAAGTATACAAGAAAAATGTTTTCACATGGAATTTTAAGTATTTGCCTATTTTCAGATTATCTGGGTAAAATTTCTTTTGAATTATTATAATTCTTGAAAATGATCCTGAAAGAATTCTGTGAAGTTCCATATCTCCTTCCATGCCACATAAATTAATTCCCTTATGGTAAAGGAAATTACCTACCTTCAACTCTAAATAGCAGCGCCTTCACATTTATTTTTATCAAATTCCAAGCCTCAAGCTACCATGCTCTATTAATTAATTAGAAATATATGTACTTTGTTCATTAATTATTCTTCCAGAAGGACCATTTACTGTTATTTATGTTAAATTTTAGAACTGAAAAAAGTGACCTTGAGGCTATTCCAAAGTTTTCTTAAGAATCAAAAATGAGGAAAATAACAAATCAAGCAAGCTTACACAGGTGGCCCAGCTTCTTGGGATAAAAGAAAAAGCCACCAGGCCCCTCTAGAGGCTGACGTGGTGTTGATAATGACATCTTGTAGGTTGTAGTCCTGAAATCTACAGAATTTCTAAGCCTGTAGGACTCTTCATGCTTGATGCTTTGAAGTTCCTCAGTATTACCTCTAACCACTGAGCTGACCCAGCTCTTCTCCTATAAAGGTCATGGTTGAGATGTATAATAAAAGCATGAGGGCCACAGAAAATATCAGAGTCTCTACTGCTGTGGCATAACAGTATTATCACAAATAATCCTATTACTTGGTATTCTAGCCTTAAGTTGAACTGTTGTATGAGCATGGTATGTACATATGAGGAGAGAAAAATACTATTCTATCATGTTTTAAAATAATTTCTGGACTGAGGTATTCTAACCAAAACAAGGGAGTATGCTCTACTATTCCTTTAAAATATTACTTCTGAAATACAATATTTAACAGTGGAGATTACTAGAAGGATATCAATTTCATTTATAAGCCCAAATATGGTATAAAAATTTAGGACAATTTCCACTGGGATCTGATTGTTTCTGGATGTTCTAGGGCAAGTCAGATCTCCCACCTAACTTTACTTCATAGATGGTATAAGTGAAAACTTTTATACTATTGAGTCCTAACTTAATTAAAGTACAAGTGAGAAATTGGAGATGCTTCAAGAATGAACACAGCTTTCTTTCTTTTTCTTATTTTTTTTAAATTAAAAATAGATTTTTAGTACAACATATTCTGATTATAGTTTCCCATCCCCTAAGGATCTTTCCAGATCCTCTCTACTTCCCCATCCAACCAAGTCCACACTCTTTCTTTCTCTCTGTCATTAGAATAGTAACTGGCATCTAAAAAATAAATTAGATAAAATAAAAATAAACCAAAATAGGAGAAAACAAATAAACAAAAAAAAAGAGGCCAAAGAAAAAGCTCGAGAAACATATACAGATGCAGAGATACACAGATTAACACAAATAGAAATCCCATGAAAACATAAAATGGGAAAACATAACATATACGAAGAATCTGTAAGAAAACAAAACAACAAAAAGCCTAAAGTACTAACAAAGCATTATGAGACAAAGAACCTCCAAAAAAAGCTATTAAGTTCATTTTGTGTTGGCCATCAACAGCTGAGCATGGGGTTAAGCCTTGAGAGCGGTTTGTATACCCAGTTAGACTCCCCTGGAAAAAACTAATTTCTCGTTTGTGAGAGGTTATCATTTAGAGACAGCTCCTGGGTTAGAGACTGGCTTCTACATGATTTTCAAGTAATTTAGCTCAGCATATATTTACCTTTGTAAGTGTGCTAAGAAAAAACATATGATACATTGTTGCAAATGTAAGATACCTCCACTGTACTCCTGGCACTGATCCTGACTCCACCCAGGGTCTCTCTTCTGAAACACCTAAGCTTTCAAAATCCAAGCGGCATGCTGGGAAGATTGACTGTAATTATATTGCTGCTGGCAGATGAGTTTAAGTCAACTAATTTTCCCACGTGTCAGATACTTTTAAATATCCTTTCCTGAGACTCTGTAAAAGCATTTTCTAAAAAGTGACATGAACTATGGTGCTCATGTCACAAAGCACAACTCAGAAAATCCTCAATTTTCTTGCCGACATTAGTCTCAGCTGCTGTTACTGGTCTATGCCTCTGTCCTACCAACACCAGTTATTTGATTTTTAAAATAATGCATCAGAAAAAAAAGATACAAAAATATAAATGTCATACAGTTTCCTCCAGTTGTGTAAAGGCCCTTCCTATGATAGTGGGAAAGGAAATAGAAGTAATTATTCACAGAAAGCTCTGGTTTAAGCAAAAGGAAGCCTTTATTACTAACACTGTGTGTAGCTTTCAAGTGGAACCCAGTGTGACTGTGTGGCTTTTAAACCACTAAAGAGAAAAATAGCTTAGTGATCTCAGGTGAAAATAGAATTAGGTCAAATGCTTTTCTTGCGGGGCGGGGGGGTGGGGGTGGGGGGGGAGGGAGTCTGTGTGTATGTGTGAGTGCTAATGCACCACACATTCTTGAGTAGTTATGTATGCTTTTCTTTACAGGTTTACATAGAGTCCATAGCTCTCATTTAAACTTTATTAGAAAAAAATCTATGTACATATGCATGCACATATTTTAGTATATAAATTAGAAAATACATTGAAAGTTATGTCTTAATTTATGAATTAGAAATGACTTCCTTAAAACTTCTGTGCTCATTATTAATGGGATTGGGTTCATCCACTAAAAATAGATATAGACTGGCTGAGGTCTGTGCAAAAATTGGTATGCCATTCTTGCATGATAACCAGACAACCTCTTTCTTTCTTCTCCCTTTCTTCACATCTCTAGTTGCCATGTACCGAGAACCATCTTTGCATGATGTTGGAGAAACGGTTCCGAAAGCTGGGGTGACGCCAAGCAAAAGTACAAGTGCATCTGCAATAATGAATGGAGGCAAACCAGTCAACAAGTGCAAGACCACATAGCCAGATCCTCAGGTGTCCTGACTTACTTGTCCAGAGCACAGTGGAGAGATTTATCCTTACTAGACATTCCTGCTCCTGTTGTTGAAGAGCCCCAGCAAGCAAGCTGATGCTTGTTCTATGCTCTCTCAGACCTCCTTCATTGCAAGTGGATAAATCTCAACCTGTGATCCCCCCACACCAAGAAGACACCTGGACAAACCAGCTAAACTCAGACCATGGAATGCCCTACCAGATATGGAATGCCTTTTTAATATCTTTTCTGTGACTGTGACACTTCATGTGAATGACATACTTCACAAGTACACTCAATACCTTGCCTGCTGACAGCTACCCATAATCCTTTTTAAGTCCTGTTTCAGCGAAATCCATGTGTTTAAGTTCAATTTTTGTAGCACACAAATAATATTGAGTAATTTCTAGTTAGATGCTGTAAACCTGTGCTATCATGGATTTCTATTCTTCCCATTTTTACAGGGCTGCTCGCTCCACTGTCTGTGACCTTTAGCAGGATTGTGTTCCTCTGAATCTTCAGTGTTGCAGTTGGTTTAGTTTGGAGAACAATCAGGGAATCAGGAAGCCTTCTAAACCTATTAATACAAATTGTATCTATAAAGATTAAGGTTGTCTTTGGCTCACATTACCGATTAAACACACATATATGCTCTGTCCAGTAGGAGACACTATGCTCCCAAGGTGGACATGCCTGGGTGGAGCAAGGGTCAAACACAATCCATGGGAAGCTCTCTATGACAGGTGTTTGGCATCCCCTCTAAGTTTCTTTCTGTGTGTATGTGTGTGTGTGTTTTATACATATCACAAGCTTACTGGTAATGGTAACATTTGCCTTGCCCAGCGAGCAAGACCCACTTGGTTTTTGAGAAAGTGGGTCCAAAGTATTTTGTAGGCCTTGTAGGCCTGATTAAGGTTCATTTTTTTCATCTACTAATCCTGGTTATTGGGAAAAAGGAAAAATAAAAAAAACAAATCATCACAACCTATAAGAAATATGCTACCTAAATTCATTTCTGACCCACTCCTTCCTGTTTTTAATGAAGATAACTCAATGCCGCCCCTGATTTGGGCTGCATTCCAGTTATCCTCAGCAGAGCATGGGCAAGGCGGCTGTTGTGTTCTTTCTGCAGCAGCAATGCACACGTTAGTATAAATTAGACTTTAATATTTTTGGTGTTTAATGACAAGTTTTTAAACTGGACATACTAAGGAAAATTCCTTTTTTTTCCAGCTTAGCATGCTGGGTCTGGTACTGTGTGTCACCAGTATACACCTCTAACTCAGCTCTGTGGGGTCCAAGAGGCTGGGTTTGAGGTGACTTGCCAAGATATCAGAATGTGGTCTGTTGAGTACCATAGATAAAGCTAAAGACAAACCAACACACTCCAGCATTGGGGTTCGGGCCATTAATTTATTTGATTTTGTTTTCTTTTGCTTTTGTAATTTCATTTTGAATTGAATTTTGTTGAACTCCAAGTTTAGGGGTACTAAGAAAGGCTGTGACACAGTTTGAAGACTCCATACAAAACATTCAATATCGGATATAAAGAGCTTCAAAATGTTTAATACTGAACTGTTTGAAAGTATATTTGTTAACTGTGTGTACACAATAAAATTCTATGTTTTCTTCTCAGCAAAGCTCATTGAGACCAAATTGAACCTCTTTCATAGAAAACAATCTATGTGGTATCAATGTACTGGCCTCTTGTTATTATTTCCATGTGGCAGAATGATCTAGATGCCATTTGCCCCCATCTGCACTGTGCTTACTGGGAAATTATTTTCTCACTGATTTCATGAATCTCCATGACAGCCCTTGCCCAACATAGAAAAATTTTGGCCTGCTTAGCTGATTAAAGATTCAGTATAAAATTAACTGTTTATGCTTATTTCATTTTCATATTGGATTCCATTTTAGTAAATAACCATTAGCATAATGTTTGAGTAGATTTATTGTCAATAATGCTAAATTGCAAATACAAAAAATGACTCCTTTGACCACCACTGATTTGGTGTTGGGCATAATTAGACAAAACCCATTAACTGATTATTTAGGGAAGACTTACATACCATAATATGTGGTAAAATGTGAATAACTTGTAATTCCTATTAGTTGGCCTTATAGACACAGGTTATACTCATCCACATGTACACACACGCTAAACTAGCCTACTTTTCTGTTTTTGGTAATCAACATTACTTGAGATTTCTGTTCTCAAGACCTGGCTAGTGCTTAAAATTAAGGCAAGATTTATTTTTGTAAACGATTGAAATTTACGTTATTGCTTCCCTCTGTTTTGTTTTCCAAGAGTTGTCAGTTGTCTATGACAGAATGTATTATTGTAAGTAGGTATCCAAGTGGCTTCTTATAATATATGTTTAGATATATCACAGAGGGGTCCTTGTTATATTCATGATTTAGTTAGGCCATTTCCTTTGTGTCTGGTCTCACTTGTTGCATGGGAAGAGGAAAGCATCAAATGAACTGCATGTACTAGGACCCATGTATCCAGAAACACTGATATGTATTTTTTGATTTACATACAGAGAGCTTGTCTGTATTGTACAATTTGTGTTTCTTACCATTTGTTGTATTTACAGATACAACATATCAAATAAAATACTCATATGAAAGCATATGGAAACCATCAAATAACTTTATGTAACAAAATGGCATTGTATCACCCCAAATATAGAGTACTCTCTGTAAATAAGATGATAAACTCAGTTTTCCCCTTACCATGCCAAAGAAAATTTTAGCTCTTTGATGATACCTCTCTTGCTAATTTTTTGGAATAAGATCATCATTCCTTCCCTCAGAAATTAAGTTTGCTATTATTAAATACAGTCTGTCATCACTGATGTTCTGTATAGTAAATCTGATGGAACACATTTGTATTTATAGACTGTGTGTTTTATATCTCCCTGTATGTATATCCATTGTATCACGTCTTTAGAAAACCCATTCCTTCTGCATGCATATCTGGTGGGGGAGAGATAGTTTTACCACCTTGTGATGGTAGCTGATTGCTTTGCCTATCCATCAACCATGCTCATTAATATTAGTCCTTTACATAACTCAAGTGACACAATTTTTGTTTCCAATAGGTTTACTTCCTGAAATTTCTTACTATTTTCCCAGGAAATAATTATGGAAGACACTCAAACAGTCTGTCCTGTGTGAAGAGTAACAGGGAATTGGGTACACTTTCTTGATGTATTTTGGAGAATTTGGAACCTTGTTTTAATTGTTTGCTTGTCCTGAGTGCTTTGGGGGTGAGGACTAGCTCCATAAAGGATCCCACGACTTTTGCTCTAGTCTTTCTACTTATTGACTTTCTAGCAAGTAAGCAGAATGTATCATACATAACCACTTAATTAATTATTAAACTACTAAACCATCTTTTTTTCTATCTAGAGTGACCAATATCAGATTTGGTATTTTAAGCAAAAACTAAAACAACAAAAATTCCTTTGTTGCTCCCTAAACTGAATATGTATTATTTTGTTAAAAATTTCTTCCAAATATTTCAAGGATAATAGATGTTTGATATCCCTCAAAGAAGGAGTGTGAGACTAGAGTGGTCAAGTTTCAATTTAGAATAAACTTAAAATAGTGAGAAATTACTTTAATTTTATTTTAGGAAACAGCTATACCATAGGGAAACAATTAGGCTAAATGCCCAATTATTCTCTGAATTATAAACTTAGTCAAATACAGAATGTAAATTGTGTTGTTCTAAAATAAAGGACATAGGTAGTTAAGGGTTAGGCTTAAAATGTGACACACAGTGCTATGTGAGTATCTAGAATACTGTGTTGGTTTCAAAGTTGTGACAGTTGAGTTTGCAAATTAAGACTGTTGTATTTTTGTTTCCCTTTGTGGTTCTCATTCAGTCTAATTTTGATATCTACGGGTGAGGTTGAGTTTGTACTTGAGCTGATAGAGGTAAGTCATTCTTTCCCTGGTGCTGCTGGAATCCAGATGAACTCAGGATTCCTTAAAGGCAGTAGGAACAATGGTTCTCTTCATATCTTGAGGACTTTTGTTGACTTTTATAACTCCCCTGGAGGGATCTTCAATCATGGTTTGTTAAACAAGTAGGATGAGGATCATCACCACTGGTGAACTTAATGCCAACCATTCAATTATCATGGGTCCCAGTGTAATTTTTGAAAGCTACAAGCAAGCCAAAGAGATTTGCTTATTTTCTCTTATTCATTACAAATTTGTCCTTGCTCAGCACTTTCAATGAGGTAGTTTCTATTTTGGAGTCAAAGTATAGAGTCGTATTTAGGTAGGAAATAGATTATGTCTTTGCCTGTCACTATTTTTTTATTTTTCTTTTTAAACAAAAGTATGTGGAATTTTCACACACATATTTATATACTGATGTTGGCATGACAAGAGCCAAACACAGCCAGCCAGCCAGCCAGCCAGCCAGCCACACACACACACACACACACACACACACACACACACACACACACACACACACATAAATCGATTGAAGCTTTTTTAAAAGTCTGTTTTCCAAGAAAAAAAATCTGACTAGAGACATACACTACATTTTCTTTTCATAGTCTGTAACAAGGCACTCCAGAACATGGTGAACTACAACATATTTTCATGTTGTCCAAAATTTAAGACAGATCACATTTTGATCTCCATGGAATAATCATTTCTCCAATGTCATAACTCTATTCTGAGAAAACTTATATACTAAGAATATTTCAACACTTTTTCTTGTAAAGATATAAGAAAAGCAACACATTCTTTTGTAGATACTACTGATAGAAATGATAAAAACTAAAGCGAGAATCATAATAATTAAAAAAGACACACCTGAGGGAATGAAAGGGAACTGAAGGTTCCAGGGGAGAAAAGTCTGGCAAATTACCACACCGTTATGATTAAAGCCAGCCCACAACCTCTTTATGTATGGCCTGAGAGCTCAGGATGGACTTTAATTTATTTATTACAATTTTAAAATATTAAACAATTAAAGAAGAAAATTCTACAGTAGTTTGTCTAATACACATTGTTCACACCTTTATATAGAAGGCTGAGTCCTGCAGTAGGGAAATATGAAGGTCATTGTACTATGATGGGAAGGTCACTGACTCTCAATGTTTGGATATCACCAAACATATTATCAGAACTGCTACTGAATTATTATAATTGCTTTGTTTCTGGCTTAAGATGTATATGGAGAAGAGAAAAATACAGAGAAGAGGAAAGAAAGCTATCATCAATACTATACCTTAACTCCTTATATTGCCCTCATTTTATAAAACTGATGTTAATTGCCAGCTCAGTAATAGAAATACAACCTATATGGCTGGGTCCCCTAATCTCAGGATAGAGGCAACAATTTTATAAATAGGTTAAATTCTCAGAACCTTATTGTTACTATAAAACCAGCACCAGTGAAATTGACTCTTCAAATACTTTTCAGTATTTAGTTTTTTTAAGTAATACAGTGGAGGCATGTTTTCTTTACTTTTGGTGACTTGACTGATAAAGTCCAAGCCATGACTTTAAAATATTTACATTATTAATATAAAATTTGCAAGTAAAAATTTCATCTTAAAACAATACAGAAATGATTTTGCTATGTTATTTTAGGATTTTACAAATAATTCACATTTAGGAAAAAGGTATTTTTTTAGCTATAAATAATGGTTGCTTCAACTATGTGTATAAGTAGATCTAACTGTATATATGCAAGGAAACCCCAAATATTGTACATTTTCATAATTTAATGTGAGTTTCATAAACAGCAAAATTTCACCAAGAAAATAAACATTTTGTTCCTATCACTGAGTGAATATTTGTAATTTTGATTTAAGTTATTTCTATATTTTGGGGTCCACTTCTGAGCTTCTGAAATAGGTGTCATTCTTGTTGACCCTACCATTTCTTTGAAAAAACATCTTTTAAGAGTGATGAGTGCAGTATGAGGATCCTTGTGTTTCCAACTAGACACTATCTTCTTCAGAGGACACATTACATGAACTGATTTAAATAAAAAGTCAGATTTCTTGTACATGTAACCCATGCCTAGTCTTATAAACGTGGTCTGTCAGTTCTTGTGATCTAAAGTGGGTATTCCAATTCATTTTTTCTGTTGTATTTGTTTTCAGTGGTTAGATAGATATTGACACAGAATATAAAGAACTTATGTCACTATTTATTAAATTGTCAAATTGTACATTTTTCATTTCTTCCTGTAAGAGATCCTTGTGAACTTAAAGCCCTTTTGATCTGGTAAACCCACGCCCATCACCACATGTCATATGTGTCTATCATCATTGTCCCAATATGCAAATTCAGATTCATATGCAATCCTGGAAAAATCCAACTGATCAGTTTATGTGAGAATAAATATCATCCTTATATTCTGATACAGTGTTTCTGGTGTCGGAATGTGGAGTCCTAAATACCATGTGATTTAGCATTTTTTCTACTACATATTGGCAAACATTGGATGTCAGAAAATACTTTGCTGTGAGGGCCCTTCAATGTTCTATAGGGTGTTCAGCATTGTCTGTGACCACTACCTCTAAAATGTCCATAGCACAAGCACCCTAACCAGTGTGACAGTGAAATTCTCTGTAGACATTGCCAAATGTCTTGTGGGTGCAAAATTGCCCTCCTTGATTGTAAAACACTGATGTTAATTATGGGAAAACAATTCTGTGTGGTGTAATTTACATCAGTTTGCTGAAGTCATTTCTAATGAAGACCCATGTTTCACTCAGGCAGTCAGAAATAGAAAAACACACAAGAGTCTGTCCTAGTACTGTCTACACATGCATTCCTCTAAACTTCTAAAATGGCCTAGAAATGTGAATCCAGTTGTCGCCCATGGAATCATTAAGGATATTCAGTGCCAAGCCAGATTTCACATGCATTTCCGTTCCATCCATCCCAGCATTCACAGCTTCCACAGCTACAGATTCCATTCCCTGCAATAAAATAAACATGGGAATTGTAGTTATGATCAGAAAGTACTACTAGAATATGTGACTGTGAATCATAATTGTTAATGAGAAAACCATTCCATTTATCCTCTCTAGAGTGTCTTATAATAAAATGATGTTATTATGTTATTAAATACCTGAGAGAAATCCACGTTTAAGATAATTAACATCTCTTTGATTCCACAATCTATTAACAAACAGTACCCACCTTGTATCAGTCAGCTGGACTCTCATATCACAATTCTATTTTCTGTTAGTGGGAAAAACCATGTCTGACTTACAAATAAGCATTGAAATGCATAAAGCCACTTGATAGGAAATTAGGCAGGCCAGAGAGCTGGAAAAAAATATCCTTGTGTGGTAAGGTGAACAGAAAAAGTGATTTTCTGATTTAATGTCATGTCAAAATAGTTATCTTTAACCTTATTAAAATGTTTGATTACAAAAATATTTTGAGTTACTGAGAAAGAATTTTATTAATGGTATATTGAATCAGCTAGAACTCTATGAAGTGTGAGTACATTTTATAATTAAAACAATACCTTCAGGAGAACACATACACATGTTATTATTTGACTTGGTTCAGTTTTTTTATACCTAATTATTATAACTCAATTAATTAAGTTTGTGATGGCCATCACACAGTCAAACCTTTTGTATATGCTTTTGCTATTGTTCACACCACACACATATCTATACATATACACAGCTCCCTAAAAACAGCCAATATACCAACTTGTGGCATCTGAGTGCTGCTTAAAACAACAGCCTTCCCCTGGAACATGTTAAAATTAAATTATTTTTAAGAGAATTCTGCATTTGTATAATTGCCCTTGTACAAATTCATAGAGCAGATTATCTTGTAGAAGTTTCCAAACAATCATATAATCTGGCTGCATCCTTTCGCATTCTTCTAGGGAAAACGCTAGTGAGTATTACAGGTAATCACTCATCCTTTTAGAATTACTACACATGTTCATTGTTCACTGGATTATATGGGAGCTGCCTTCTCTGGCTATCTAAAGCAGCATGTAGTGGATGCCATTTGGCTCTATTGTCATCTGTGGCACAAAACAATTAGTGTAGTTTAATACCTGTGCAAATGAGACCATCGTGTTTGTCACAGTCTCTGTCATCGCAGTCACAAAACTCCCCTGAAATATACCACTCTTCTGCAGAACAAATGCACTTTCCACAATGGCAAGAACCTGAAATCACAATGGATATTACTGTCACCAGAGAAATAAAGATTTCCATCAAGAAGAGAGTATCACTGACACACTGACAATAGGCTTGTAACAACCTATCTTCTAAAGGTAAAAGTTTATTGAATAGCTGCTTTCTCAGAGAAGAGCTTTACGTACTCAAATACATAAAGGTCATTCAGGAAAGCCTTCATTATAGATCTAGACAGTTGCAATTAGCCTGGAGCAAATGTTCTTTGGTCCAGTCTGGCTGAAATGTCAATGGAACAGGATGTGGCTCATCCTTAGAGATACTCTCCCCCAAAAGGTATTCAAAATAGATGTTTTGTTTGTTCCTTTTTTAATTGAATTGCATTTTAAGTCCTTGTTATCTAAAGGAATCCAATACTAAATTATATTAAATGAAGATTCATTTCGTAATTTAGTAACAACTAAATTATTGAGCTCATCATCTTAGAATTTTATTTATATGATTATTTTGAAATAGGAACACACAAACTTCATACTGAGTGGCAAAGTGAAGTGTTAAAAATGCAGATACAATCTCTCATGTCTGATTGATGTCTCAGACCTGCCCTTCAGGATTTTATCTATAATCAGGAAGAGTCCTAATGAACCCCAAATGAGGTCCAGTCAATTTTGCTACCCCTTATCAACATTCTTTCTGGTTATTTCAATCTAATTTTAAAACAACAAAAAATTAGTTATTAAAATATTTTGGGTAACTGAGAATCTTACTAATGGAATATTTAAGATAAAAATAAATTTTATGTTATTTCAAAGAGAAGAAATTTCTCTTTGTGCAAATGTCTTTCAAGACAGGCTTGAAAATCATGGGGAAAGCTGCTTTTGCCACAGCTAGAAGGACAACTGCAGAATTCAAAAGGACCTTTTCCATTTCCTTGCTTGGCCTTTCTTTCTGAACACAATTTCCTTTTACTGAAAGATACTGATAGTTATCACAGAGTTACTCAAGTCACCAATCCCTTTGAGAAAATGTGAAAAGTAAAAGTTTTCAATGTGGTTAGCAAAACTCCAAACTCATTAAGCTCTAAATTCACAGAGGAGACTTGGGAGTGTTCTGAATTCTTCTCCTGAAATAGAGTGACTGACTAATGATTAACAACCTAGGGGCAGAGAGCAGAAAACCTAGATTTGGGGAAATGGACTGACATGATACTGTCATGCATATCATGAAATAATTATAGTTAACGTGTCCCAAGCATTAAGTGCTATGTTAGTTCATGACATGGAAAGGGTATATGCATTTTAGGTGGAAGGATCTCCCACAACCAAATTTCATTTTGGCCTTTCTCATCACACATCTCAAGGCAAGTCAGAACCAGTTGTAATGGGAGAATTGTATTTATATTTATTTTTACTTTTTTGTTAAGTGCAGCACAATGTCACTTAGTCTTGACTTGTTTGACTGAGAGTCTGGGTTGACTTGCAGACTATTTAGGGCAATATATGGAGATCTTCTATTTTTGTGAAGTGATTGACAGTGTGGTGGTTGCCTCAGATCTTACCTGCTGGTTTAGTGGGAAAGACATAAGGCTCCCCTCAAATTCTCACCTAGGCAGAGGGTATCCTCATTTTAGAATTAACTTTTTCTTAAATTTAAATATTTTCTTTAAAATTTATAGACATGGAAATGTTGAACAATCAATTGCTTATTTAACAAATGCTAGTGAAATATCTACATGGGCACTCTATTGTCTATCACATGTTTAGTGGCTTATTTCCACCAGAGAAGAAGATTAACTATTTGAGGAATTAAGTATCTTTTGATTCTTATATAGTATCTCTTACAGCAGGAAGTTATTTACACAATAGAAATAAATGATTTTATACACTTAAGATATTAATATAGTCACACCTAGGATGCCTTTTCATGTGTATCATAATTCCTACAAAGAGTTTACATTTCATCTTTGAACTTATCTCTTGCCTGGAACTGATTCTTATTACTTCTTTTGTTTCTGAAATGCTTAGCTGCAAAGTATAGCAAAGTATTTTCCTGAAATGAGCACGCTCAGCTAAAGTCAATGTGGTATATGTAGACTGAATATTTGACAAGTAAATTATAGCTCCAAATATAGTAGATGTCATAAAATGTTTAGAATAAAACTGGGATTTGATTTTGTCTATGCTATGGAAGTAATTCGTGGGCACCATAATCCAAGGTTTGTTGTTTCTCTGTTGATGATTGAGAGGAAATTCTTCTACTTCCTCCAAAAATAGGAACAGCATAGTATGTAGTATTAACACAGTGTACATAGTCCTTAGAACCTATTATAGACTTATTGTAAAGAGCTCTGGTTGTTCTCATAAATAACCAATAATAGGGGTGGATTATCAATATCTAGAAATGGGAAAGCATGAGAAGATTCTGTCTAACAAGTATAAGCTTACTGAACACCTCAAAGTGAGCAACTGTTCAACTCAGCAGGCTAGGACCCATTCCCACAAGAGACTCAGCCCAGCCATAGGCTGCAGTTGGCCCATCTTGTCTGGAACCATAGAGTGATAAACTTGCAACCACAACACCACTAACCCATTTGTTTTCATTCTCCAAAATGACTCTTAGCAATGTCCCCATTTTTCTTTATGCTTTTTTCTGGCTTTCATTATTGGGAAAAATTTCAGCTATCTGTAGAACATTTCAAAGACCTAAGGAGGAGAAAGAAACAAACTTCCTTTGAAGAAGATAATGGAATAGCAGAAAGGATGGGGAAATTACCTCAGAACCATTCTGAAAACAGTTAACAGACGATCTCAATATGATTCAACCCACCAGTTAGCCATCTATCTGTGATGATTGTCACAGCAAAGACATCCATGTAATTTAATAAATGAGCAGTTCTTGCCTACAGATATGCCTACTAGCAGCCATACTGGGCATGACAACTAGGATAAGCTTGCTCTTGGAAGTATAACTTTTTTCCATTCTCTTTTCTGAGGATATAGAACAGGGGTAGCTGAGAAACAGATGGATGAATGAGGGTACCTGAACTTATTAATGATGTGGGCGCAGCAATATCACTGTGACAGTTTAAGTATATATTTAAAGACTTGTCCCATAATGGTACCTCTGACTATTGGAGTGAATACTTGAATCTAAGGTAATGTTAAGACAAACATTATTGTGCCACCATGGAACCAAATAAATAAATAAATCCCCAAGCCAAACAACAACAAAAAGCCCTATAAATCTCACCATATATTCTGCAAAGGTAGCTAAACTTAGGGGCGACATGGCCACTAAGCACATCTCTCTTGGTCATTTACAAAAACAATTTCAGTCTGGGGGCAAGGCCCCATTCCATTACTGACTTTCTTTTTCATACATCAAGCCTGACAAAATGCTGCAACCTGACACCCAAGCAGGCAGTTTTCACTATTGTACTAATGACACCATCTGTTATGAAGGTCACAACAATGTATCTTGTTTTAAATTTTTCTATGGAGTGATTTATTGTCTTGGCTATAAATTTGTAAGAAATAAAATGCTATTTCTTCATCGTCTCCTGAAGTGAAGGCTTTATTCACAGTTCCTAGCAAATGCATAGTTCAAGCTTGTCATTTTGGTGGGAGTGGGTTACAAAGTACCATGGCATGCAGCCACAGGCCAGTCCCTGGCTCACATCTGTCCCATAAAAGGAAAAAGGGTGTCTATATACTTTGAGATCTCCAGAATGAGGTTTTTCCTACATGAATTTTGGAAAATTATACAAGTCAAGGAGATACAGAGTGAAAGGATGTGAGAAAATTTCCTTTCTCATTCATCATGTTGAAATCCCCCAGTCTGTCACATGCTGTACTTTTACTGTGGTTCTTGGAGGCAGGGTATGGGACAATTTCTCCATGGAGAACAGGAATAACATCCTTGTTATCCTCTGTAACAAAGATTAATTACAGTTGCAAGAGCTCAGCCTCAGCTCCTTTCTTCTATACCCATCATGATGCCTCCAGAAAGGATTTCAACCACTTACTCCCATCATTAATGTGAACCATGAAACTCAAAATGGAAAGCCTTGGGCAGATTTTACATTCCTTTTTTAATTTATCCATGACAAAGCATCCCATCCAGTGGAGGATAAATATGTGAACATCTAGGCTCTCAGTTGTCAGTGACCTGTGATTGTACTCCCACCACCCAAAGCAAATACCTGGAAAAGCATTACGTAGGACTTTGTGTTTGGTTCAGCTGTGAGGAAATAACTTTAGGTCAATATATAATCAAATTTTGAATCTTTTTCTTTTTAAAAAGAGTTATTTCATTAAAAAATACGTATGTGTAGGTTCAGCGAGCATGAGAGCAAGTGCCATGAAGATCAGAGGAGGGTGTCTGGTCCGCTGGATGGAGTGTTACAGGCAGCTGAGAGAGACCCAGTGTGGGTATTAGGAACCAAACTCTGGTTGTCTGCAAAAGCAGCAGGTGCTCTTAACTGCTGAGCCCTCTCCCCAGCATTCCTCAGCTTTTTGTGTTTCCTATATGCAAATTGCCTAGATGGAAATTCTGAAACGCTAATGAGGACTCAATACAACTGCTTATATATTTTAGGGAATAATTTTGCATAAAAGTCAGGTTAGGGAGTACATGGACTGTAACTCATTGCATTGGTGAGTATAGCTCTCTGAGTCCATATGGAATTTGCAACTGGACATGATTCAGCAAAAGACTATTTATGATAAAGTTCTAAACATAAATATAAAAAATCATACCTATGTTTTAATATAAGTGAAGTTTTCTTTTGGTAAAGCATGTGTGAAAACTTAGGAAGTTTTCCATCTTTTGCATAGACAAAAAGGACATTAGCACCTTATTTCCCACACCTCCTGTTGCTAATGGCTTGGCTGAATGGTTTTTCTCAGGCAAAGTTCATTCTTGAGGGAGGGGTTGCTACCTGCTGTTCTGAGGGACCATGTGTCTCAGCAGGGATCCGGCTCCAGCAGTGGTACTCACCCTTCCCTGAGCACAATGTGCCATCTGCTGACTCACACAAACTCTTGCTTTGCTCTTCTGTCATGTTACACTTCCGTGGGTGCTGGCAGAGCTTGCCAAACCATCCTTTCTCACAAACACAACGACCACAGGAGCATGTGCCATGGCCTGTGAAACAACCAGAGGATGAGGATGAGGGGAAGATGTGACTAAATAGGCAGAAAAATCAGTTTGTAAGACAATGTAAATTGTAGGGTATCATCTCCCATCAGACATACAGTCATTCTGACACATCATTGTTTAAAACAGTGTCCCAGTAGAGATCTAGCTTAGCATGGCACATTTGGATGTGGTATAGGAGACAAGTTTTTGAAACAGAAATCTTGAAATGTTTTAAAATGGATTTATGAGTCGTTTCTGGATATTGGTCCTTTCTCATTTGCATTTCTATCAGCAGGTTGTGTTGGTGTCATTCTTCATTGTGCACACCACAACACCCAGTTCAATTTTGAAGGCTAGTCATATCACCACTGCTTGCAGCATTTATTAATTGCCCTCCTGTGGCTTACTAATAAAAACAAAAGGTATTCCTAATGATTTTTTTTTTTACATTTCTCTTCATGAACAAGAGCAAATAAAGCATAAATACTCACAACTTTTATTGATGTATATAAGTTAAAAATTGCACAAGGTTTGTGTTCACATTTGACTTTTGGTTTTGGTCTTTTTGTTTCTGATATCTATTCCTGTTTTTTAAGATGTTTATCCTTTACTATGAAACACTGTGTTTGTGACAGTTATACAGGGGTATATAGTCCTGTTCACTTGTGTGCAAACAGCCATCTACTAGACTTCTGAATTTTTCTATTTAGTTTATTTCTAGTGCTTTGTTTCTTTCCTGATAGTCACACTTTCTTACAGCCAGATACTCTCTGACGCAGTTATTTGCCTGGAAAGGATTTTTCACATATCTATTATAAACAAAATATGTTACCAGGAACCAGAGCATAGGAAATGAAAGATGATGGGTACAGTGATTCTGCTATGTGCACAAGGGCATGTATCATTGTCATCTATACTAACCAGTGCTTCTGGTATTCTGGTCACCACTCCTTCTTAATCTTGTGTTTGTGACATGCATCTCTACATAGAAAGATTAATGGACAAGACTCTTTTGTTGAGAATTCATTATTATGATTAATTTAACATAACCACCCATGTATCCAGGTAGTGATCTTCTATAACATGACAATCTGGAAGTTAATGGAAAGCAGATAAAAGATAAATTTAAAATAAATCTGAACAAAGGCATCTACTCCCAGAAGCCTTTCCTCATACATTAAATTATGTGTTGTCATAGCCCGTGAAGTCAGGTGTTGTCCCCATTTTACAGACAGGAAGCTGAACCTCTCTCTGAGGGCTGTGCTTTTATGTTTCAAGTTGCACATCAAATCCTGTAGTTCAGCCACACAGCACCAGAACTTGGCTCTAGTTCCTCTGATTTCAAGGTCCATACACCTTCCATAAAAGCACAGCACCTTTCTCTTTAGGAAAAGGGCTACATAGTCATGCTTTCTTAACACGTGTCTTTTTAACTTCTGCATCATCTGCAGGCCTGTAAGTGGCTCTTTCCCCTTTCAAGTCCACCATAACTAGTTTATTCATGCCCTCTGATAAGATACCTTGATGTTATCCTCACATTTGCTTTTGTGATCTAATAGACAACCCTATTGCAGAACAAGCAACTTCCAAAACTATAGAAATGATAGAGACATCTGGCTGCTTGGACAGTCACCCCATGGTGTTGTGGGATATTTGTAATATGAACAGGTATTGGTGTGATTGTTGTAATAAAAAGCTGAATGGCCAATAACTAGGCAGGACTTCCAGGCACACAAAGGACTCTGGGAAGAAGAATAGAAGAAGAGACGTCAGAAGACTCAGACCAGGTCAGACATGATATACTCTCTCAAGCAAGCCCAAGCTGATACTCCCAGCATACAAAGGTGTGGCTCCAGGTCACTGCCTGTGGGCTTGAGCCAACAGCCAACGCCATGTGCTAAGCAAAACCACACAGTGGACACACTGGTCCTTTATGGCTTGGCTCAGGTGGTCAGAGAACATTGCAGACACACAGAAAGCCAGGTCCAGAGACAAAAAAATCCTTTAAAAAGGTATAGTATGCTTAAAAGGGGCTTAGGTGCTAAGAAAAAAGAAAAAAGAAACAAAGAAAATGAGTATATACTCATACAATGATAAAAAAAAGTTTAAAAATAATAAAATCTTTAAAGAGATAGTAAAGTAATTTGAAAAAAAATAAGCTATCTAAGGATAGAAAGTATTATAATACAGGAGGTTTAGACCTTACATGGTACTTTGTTAATTTTGAATTTTTGAATGCTAATGAGCAGAGAAAGACAGGTGCTGAGAGACACTGGATTGTGGAAGGGATTGCTGAATTAAACCATCCTATATACTTTAGGGATGTCTTGGCTTCAAAATGGAAGTTGAACATTGTGTTGTTTTGGGGGAGAGGTTGTTTCCACAGGAAACAAAAATCTACGGATTCCTTCAAAGTTAATTGAGATCAAATTTGACAAAGGGAGACTTCCTGAGGATCTTAGGTACAGGTATGAGGGACAAAGCCAGGAAATACCACAAGACAGGTGATGTGTATGCTGATCCCTCTGCATGGAAACAGCTCGGAGACTGGATGAGACATGATAAATCTTATTGGCTATAGAATTCTCATGACTTATTATTACATGCCATCATTTCATATGGCATGGATAGAGGTTTGGTCATACAGTCCAAACAGACTTATAAAGTTGACAGATGCCTTTTGTCTGCCCAAACAAAAAACAGAAAATCATCTTTATCTGATGTGTGTACACTTCACATTCTATACTTGAGTTAATGCAAGATATATGTTACCTTTAAAAGTTTGTGTATTTTTAGAGCAAAAGGACCAGACACCAATAAAGATAAGTAGCCCAGGTGATCCAGCTTCCCAGAAAGCCTCTGTTGTAATTTCCTCAAATGTCTGTATTCAGAACAATTTCAAAGCTGCTAGTTAAGATGGTCCACTCTCACAGGCTATTCAGCCAAGACTTTAGATAAGCCCTGTACTTTCCCATCATTTGTAGAGATTAAACAAAAAATAATACAGCGAGCTCTCCCAGGACTTGATCATTATCTCAATTTTTTCAGAGTCCCCTAAATATGTTGTCACCACCAGATGACAGGAAGCAGTCTAGAGATCATGACATCCATATTCTAAAGAGGTGGGATGGGTGGTTTCTGGTCACTCAATGGATGTTTATCAATTTTGGGGAGTTTGGTTATAAGTTGTTATTGGTCATGGTCATGGATGAAACTAAGCTAAGGAGATTAGATTCAGGGATCTTGTTCTGAAAAGAAAAGGGAGAATACATAAATGATAAGATAAAAGGGTAGATTATTAAATCTACTTTAAAACTAAAAAGCAACTATTAATCTCAAATATTTTACATTGGTATGGATTTTTGTATATTGATACAAATTTAGGGTTATTTTTGTTAGAACATATTCTATATATGTTTCTACTCTTGTTTAAGGTATATAACTCATTTAAAAATGTAATGCATAATTAAGAAATACAGGTTAGCAGTTATTCATCTATAATAATCAAACTTGTAGTCAGGTTAAGTATGTTTTCAAGGTTAAACAGATATATATTTTAAATAAATAGAAGGTCTTCAAACACTTCAGAGACCTACAGAATATGGTATTTAAGATAATTTAATAACATAAGGCTTTCCAATTCAATTGGGTCCTCTGGAAGAACAGTCAGTACTCTTAACCACTAACCCAACCCTCCAGCCTTCATCATTTTACACTGTCATTTGAATTTACTTAAAATATGTTCAACCTACATCTGCTGTATTCAGTAGGGCAGACATTTGGAGCTGTTTACATTTCAATTTAGGCTGTGTCATTTTGTTGTAATAAACTATTAACTGTGAATATAAGAAAAAAATAATGCTTTTCATAACAGTGAGACATGGATGCTCCTGGCAGGACCAATACTTCAAAAAAGGATGATGAGCATCAAAGAACTTCCATATATATAAAAGTTTACTTTTAATATGGCAGAGTAAGTCACTGGGCAAGAAACTACCCTTTCCTCAATTGATGACAGAATGTTGTCCAAACTGAACAAACAGTACACAAAAGAAGGTGACTGTCAAACTTTGCCAAGACAAGTGGGACAACTCTTCAAAAACTCCTGCTTCACAGAAAAGTCTGTCAGATATTCTAGGCCTGTAGGCCAAAGATGAATGCCCCAATGTTGCAGAGGAACCCTGAGGTGACTGTACAAGCAGCCAGGAGTCACTATCATTTCTATAGTTTTGGAAGTAGTTTGCTCTGTACTTCCTGTTTACTCAAGTAATATTTTATCCTTTTTGAGTCTCTGATCGGGATTGAAGACTAGATAGTTATGCAGTTTTGCTTGTTACCAAATTAAAAAAAAACTTACATAAAAGTGTAAAGTGTATAAGGTTGAGAGACACAAAAGCTTAAGTTGTTTATCTAAGATGTTTTAAGGTCTAAAAAGCTATTTTTAGGATGGTAATACAAGTTATGATAGAGATTGGTTTAGGTATAAAACTTTGGACTCACCAAAATAGGATGCATAATACAGTGTTTTCTCTGAATTTGCCAAATATGTATGGACATGACATTGTGAATGTAATTCTTACTTGATAATTGTTCTTATTATAGAAAGTTTTATTGTGTTAAAGTTAAAACCTTTCCTTTTTGTTTAAACAAAAAGGGGGAAATGTTACAGAATATTTCTTTACACTGAGTGAAGATGTGTTACTTTGCTTTAATAAAGAGCTGAATGGCCAACAGCTAGGCAGGAAGAGGTTAGGTGGGACTTCTGGGGATGCAGAGAACTCTGCAAAGAAGAAAGGTGGGGATGCCAGCAGACTCAATACAGATGTCAGTCATGCTGTATTGAAGAGAGGCAATCAAGCCACGGTGCAGAACATAAATTAATATATGAGATAATTAAGTTATAAGAACTACTTAGAAATCTCCATGTCATTATTTGCAGGCTAGCAGTCCCAATGAGAAAGCTTACTATGCCCCACTACCTTTCTTTAATCATCTTTACTTATCTG